ACACGCATCCCGCTCTTAACTATCGTACTAACTTATTATGTTCTTCGAGCTTTACTGTCCTAGGAAAAGAAAATGAGTGGATATATCACGCTCAATATCATTTGTAATTAATTTACACACGAAAATCAGATTACCTAATAATCTGTGATAAATAAGAATAAGGACGAATAACTTCCCTATTCAACGTATATATCTACAACTTCGAACTTTCGGAATTGCATGGGGTTTATTCCCATTGTAGTTTATTCGAAATCTTCGAGTCACTTTGTAAACATGGCTTTGCTGTATACTGTGACAGAAAAATTGGATGAAGCACTATATTTTTTTCAGTCTTTATGATAAAAAAGCTCATCATGCTCGTTAGTCAGTCTATACCGATTGATGGGAAATACGATATATATTTGTACTTTTACTGATTTATTTGTCAAAGTACTGACTATGTATAGCTACAGCGTCGCACGAGTTTACGGTCACTATTGATGTAAGATTACTGGTTACCGTATTACAAATGCAAGCATCATGAACTATGAATACTCATTCACTGTATCAGATTCCAAGTAGTCCAGATTATTGTAGTTACTAAGTCAGTCGAATTCCATTACAGGACATTATTTTGCACTCAGACTTAAAGTTTCCTGCCGTCATTTTGCATTTTATCAGTGACACTTTTCTCATGTTTTGAGATAGTGCTTTTCCGCCATTTTTCTGACTTGTCTCTTATGTCTTTGGCAATATAAGTCCTTAAGTTACATGAGCTATGAGTCCTTTACGTCAGAATATTGCTAGATCTACTCCAAACCACAGGTGCCACGAAACACCTCTTTATTGTTTTATTTATTAATTTGACAATTATTTCTGCAGCATCCTCTCCATTAAGTCATGGCGAAGTTGATAGCAGTGAAGTAATTAATGTACCGTGAACTTTAATTGCTGATTTTAGTGGTTGACAAGTGAACATGTTTATATATATAAAATTTACAAAAACCTAAACACTGACTTCTTATATGTCTTTGTAATAATTGTAAATTTTATGTATTTTGTCCCGGGACTTAGTGTGGGTTATGTTGTCATGCGAAAAGGAAAGATATGATGAGAAATGCTTATGGTTGTCGCAATTTTTTGAAATTGAAGAATACAATCCATAATCCGACTAAACCAATCCAATGACATTTTGGATTATTCACTGTCTTCTACAATGCATATTAAAATCATCTGTATATTTTAAGTAATCAGAGTTTTCATTTATTATGAAGGAGTCGTCTCGAACCATCCAGTTAATTTATTCTCAACGAAGACATCAACTTCTCTGTGTGTACCAGTTTACGAAGGTGGTGCCCTAAACATCATTCAATACCAATAACAGAGGAGTAATTAAACACTTCTGTAACTTCAATTTTTTAATAAGCAGCGCCGTTAACGTTAGATTTTGCTTGTGATTATTAAAAGGCAGAAAATAAATGTAGTCACCAGCATTCTGAACAGATGGAAAGTCCGTTGTAAGAAATAATCGATGAATAACATTCGTTTTTGTGATGACAGTGAACCGACAATGTCCTTAAATGCAGTCTTGTTAATATACCATCACGTTAAAAATGCTGATTTGACTAGACAATAATCAACTTTTGCAATGTACTATCAATGCATACACTGTTAAAATAATGGATATGACTATCACTCAAAGTTACGGGACTTACCTGGTCTGTGATACGTCCCATATGAGATGAAAATACAAAACGAATGAACAACAACCACACCAGTCACTAACACTGGCATGCTTGATTTTGTTTTCCAAACATTTTCGAACAGTGCCAAGCTGTTGTTGAGAACGAACGGTGAAAGGCAACAAACGGGTTCGTCGTAATAGTGATTGTATTCGTTTGTTTTTAACAAATTTCGTTCAGATAATTCGCTTGAGAGATACGGACAAGTAACTTTTTACTCTCAACTTATGGGACTTCCGATTTAATTATGAGTACTTCGAAACCTACTTATACCGCTATTAGCCGAATAAAGCATCGTAACGCAGAATTCTAGGTTATTGTGATCGATTTGCAGATCGTCAAAATATTTACCATTTCCTTTAATGTCACTGTGACACCCATCAATTTACTTAATTTTCGTTCAGAACATGGATATGGACACAGAAGTAATAATAAGGCACAAAGAAACTATTCCAGGTCCGTCAAGAGAACGCAGTATCAATCAGTAAATTACGATTTATTTTGACAGAGTAAAATTGTTGCTGCATTGCCGTTAGACAGTCCGTATGTGAAATTGGACTCTTCTTAATTTATTCCGGTATCACGTTATGTGATAATACATAAAGTGTTTCTACACCAACGTAATAGGATGAAGTGGCAAAGTAAAAGAAATTAGGAACATGTGTATTCAGCTAGAAATGTCGATATTAGTCCTCACTAACAATTGGTTATCACCGGTCGTCATTATTAGAAAGGTGAATCTGCAAGACACGACACTTTGCAGATACTAGAGGTCACAGAAAGCGGGAGGTGAATTGAAAATATACATTAAAAGCCATTTCAAAGCTACAACACCATACATTGCCGAATAAACGAGCTGACACAAGCAACCAGCTTGTGGTATAGTATGTCCACGACCACACACTAACTGGAATTAACAACCTTTGTTTAGTTATCTTTAGAGCGGTCACAGATGAGGACTTGTGAATTGACAAAAATGAAGGTGAGCTTCGTGGTCATGGGAGTAATGAAGCCAAACACTGAATGATCTTTGGTAGATAGGAATAAAACTCAATACATTACCCGAAACAATGGACCTAAAGGGTAAAAGAGACATTGAACAATTCCCACAGACCAAACCCATAGCTTAACGTAAATAGAAGATTTCTTTGAAACAATCTGATCGCATCTCTAATATTTGCAACTCCATAGGTCACGTTGAAAGTTGTTTGCAGGTCATGCTAGCAGCCCAAATTTAAAAAGCCTCAAAATATCTCTGCCGAATATCCGAAAACTAATAAATGTGCATTCTAAAAAAGTCACATGGCTAAAATATAACTAGTTTAAAGATGAATTGGGTCTTTAAAGACAACCTCGTAAACCGACGAAACCAGAAAATCGAAAGCTCTGAACATCTTTCAAATCTTTTGCTACTTGAGAGTCTGGGAGATATACAACTAACTCCTGGATTAGTATTGAAATCCTGCCCTCCAGAAAAGCCACCAGAACGTGACAGCATACGATCTATAACCCTGGAACTATATGCGGCAGCCATCAGTACATAAGTGTGTGACCCGATCAGCCACTCATTAGATTCACACCTCATCCATGACAATTGGACCAGGTCACTCCTTCCAATCTTCAAAAATGTAGACAAAAAATATACAACACATTACAGGTCAATCTCCTTACTCTACATACAATCAAAGATAGTGGAGGTATAGAATGAAGATCTACTTTCCCATTAGAGACCATTATGACGATAAATATATTCCTAAAACTGTAGATTTTTCATGATGCGACTGCCTAATCAATAAGATGTTTTGGGAAAGTCAGATTATTGTCTGCACTGACTCATCGTATCCCAACAATTAATATTACGTCTGGATTTTGTAAAGAACACATTTAGGCTAAAGATAGAGTAATATATTTAGTGTGAGTAATGACAAGTTATGCACAAAGGCCATATCTGTGAGGTAGAGTCAAGCCATCCGACATGTTGAATTCAGTATTCATTCTCCATTGTGAACATTCTTTTCGTGTCAATTACTAAAAATATAAATATTTACTAGCCACCGTCCCGTTAAGACCAGCCCGTCGGCACTTATCTTTCTAGACAACAAAAGTATATGGAAGCCCAGTAAGATGGAAAACGAATCAATTGGGCATCTAACGGACGTTGTAATAACAGAGGAGTGTGTAGTAGATTATATAATAAAGCTTAACCTGTTAAACCGTCATTTCATAAACGGTTTGACTCATTTGACATAACGCACTTACACTACGCATCGACTCTGTTCTAAATTGCTTATTCAGAGAGTGATCTGGAGCTTGTAGCCAAGATTGATGCAGCCAAGCCAAATGCAACTATCGACGAAATGTGGAGATAACTATGCACATTCACCACACATTTTTTCACAACACTGTCTAAAACATACGATATGCCCCACCTTGATATTCACAATACCACTGCGTCCTTTCCCATCAAAATAGATGTAAATCTCTTACACCAAGTATAGGTTTGGGCAACCAAGTGGGTAATAGGATGAAAGCATAAATTTTATGAAGACAGACTCCAGCAACCGAGAATTTTCTCGCCCAGCTGTAGGAGAATAAGAAGTAAATTGAAATTGGCATACAAAATATTAAGTACTCCGAGATACACCAACACCAGCACATTAATAGAAAATCACCACCACTCTGCTCAAGATACCACTCGAAAGACTGAACGTCAAAGAACGAAGACTCAATTATGCTCTCACTTTTCTCATTAAGAGTTGCAACCATTTGGAATGCTCCCCTAGCTGAAGTGAGCACAACACCCTCAGTGGATAGGTTTAGGTGGAGACTTGATAAACACGTACTCACTCATAGATTGCGATTTCTCTCTCGGACCAGCTGCACCTAGTGAATGTATCACAACTTACATACTGTCATCATTATATCATCTCAACAACTTGTTTTCATACCTCTTATTGTCATCTCAGTTCCCCTCTTATTCTTTCTATTTTATTTCCTCACATTATACATATTAAGCAAATTATTTATTTATCTTTGGGTCTCTCGTAATCTATTAGCACATTTATCTTCACTTTCCCTATTCGCATTGCGATCAACCAACCTCGTACCTGGTAATGCGATGGCTGTTAGTATACAGAGTTCATAGAACTCAGAGAAAGACGAACTCAATCGAATTTCAAGATATACAAATCCACAAATAACTACCAAACCAACTAGAATTATTGTGGTTAAGTGGCTAGACTACTACACACTGGACATTATCCAATACCTGGAACTGTACTGAAACAACAAGAAGCGAGCACAGACACCTAACGTTTTGCATAAACTCGTGCCAAATATATTGAATATTGGCTCTAGGTCAGAACATGTTTGTCATGTACCTTCTGTTAACGTGGGTTTTACTGATTTCAAAGTTGTCATGTACCTCAACAGAAAAGTTGCCAGTTATTATCTGGCACGGGATGGGTTTGTTACTTTACACGGCTCGCTTATTTTTAAGGCGATCGAGGAACGGGTATGGGTATACTGCAGCTAGCTAAAGCGATACAAGACGAAATACCTGGAACATATGTCAAATGCATTACCACCAGCGACTCAGTAATTCAGGTGAATGAACTTTTGTCTGTAAATATGTGTTTCTGAATAACTTTTCAGAACAGTAGTTTATCATATGAAGTGTTTATTATACGCACTTTATCAAAATGTATATAACACAGAGTACCAAGTTTACTAAAGCTAAGAATGTAAACCGCTAAATGGCAACTTAGTATTTAACAAAATTAGTTTTCGTTGAGGGGAGATAGATTTTTAGTGCTTCCAAGTTTTTTGAAGTCTTTCCCTATCGGAAGAACAAATGATAATAGCTTTAAGAAAGAAATCTTTATGCTATTAAACCATTCGGAACTAAAGATCATATACCGGCTGAACAGTTCGAAAAACGTGACAAACTACTGTGTTTATATCTTCCTGATGTTTGTCGTTAACTTTAAAATTATCTATGACCTGGGAATTGAGTATACTACTACTTATAATACAACTTAATATAGATAAAATGAAAAAGAAGCTTTGCTAGTAGTTTTATGCCTCACACAAAATGGTTTCGTCAGATTGATTTGGACATCTGCCAGTAACAAAAGGAATGTAATCAATTTTCATTAAGTACTGGAAAGATAAAGGTAGCCAAAATCTTTTTGTCAGTAAATTTGTTCGCAGTTACACTTTAAGTTCATATTCAGTTTATGGGGAAGATGACCGAATAAATCTTTAAGACATTTTCCATTCAAACGAAATTGAAAAACTACATTTAGAGTGGATAATTACAATCATAAGTTGCTCTTATTAAAAGCTTGCTTACTCCTTGGTGCTACCTAGCTTTTGAGACGAATAATAAATTTCAAGCGCATAACTCTGGATACTTATCGTTCTATAATTTTTTAATATTGCAAATTCAAGTGACTTTCTAAATTCATGACTTCCTGACAGCAGCTTATCATGACGACATCAGTGATTTTCGATTTTCGTTAACAAGATATTAGTTACGAATCAAATCAAGGCGTTCTAAGTCGTTGTTAAAACCCCTTATAAAAATGCTACATTTCAAATGCAAATTCTGCACAACAAAGTTGTGGGTAGAAAGGAAACACACAGCAAACTACTGAAGTATGAAAATGTTGGGTTTCAAATAAGTTGTTAAACAGATTAAAATACGAATTTCAGCGAAGGGATCTCTTTTTAACGAATTTATTATCAAGCCATACAATCGTATATATATGAAAAATTTTTGATTTTGTAAAAGTACTAATTCCGTGAGGAAATGTGAACACAGTTAATAAAAAGGTTATAATAGATTACGTAATATGAATAATAATAATAAAAATAAATTTAGTGATTATAATAAAATGATTAAAATGATTAAAATGTTTTTGTTGTAATAATAATTAAAGATCATAGAGGTGTAAAAATAAATAAATATGGTGATATGATGAGTATTCACTAATAAAACAATGAGAATATAAGATATAAGTAAAGGGGAGAATGCAGTAATAATAATAATAATAATAATTGGATAATCAAAATACTTAAGGCCAAGGTAACGATAACGATAAGACGTACTTCTTTTGTACGCATAATTCTGGTTTAAGCTCCTGGATGGTAAGAGCTTTGGCTAGCCATTTGGCGATTCTGTGGTATGGTGAATCCGACATATCCAAAATGGGTAGTAACGGTAAACCCGGCTTATGTACTTTCGGTAGTCCATATAAGCGCGGGATGATTGAACCCATGGGACGTATATGATTATATAAATCTTGGGTTATTAACCCCTTATTCTTAAGAATTTTAACAACGTCTGTTAGTTGTTTTTCGATTTGCAATGTTTTATCGACTTCTTTAAGTTTGGAGAATTTAGTACCATCCCGTAGAATTAATTTCATTTTATCCAAATATTCTTGGCGGTCAAGTAGTACTACACCAGCTCCTTTGTCAGGTTTACTTAGGATTAAATCCTTATTTCTTTTCAGGAGTATTAGCTGATCCAAGTGGTTCTTAGTTAATAGGTTATTCTTACTACATTGTGCATTAACGTATCCATGACTGCAGTCCACTAATGTGGATTTAAAGTGCTGAAAATTTTCTGGGGATGTTGGCACAAGATCATGAGTTTGATTTAATAGGTTTTCGAATTGTATTTGTGTATGAAGTCTACTAGTTTTGGAGGTGCTGTTACAGAACTTATTATAATCACTAAATCTATTGTTATTATTATTATTATTCATATTACGTAATCTATTATAACCTTTTTATTAACTGTGTTCACATTTCCTCACGGAATTAGTACTTTTACAAAATCAAAAATGTTTCATATATATACGATTGTACAGCTTGATAATAAATTCGTTGAAAAGAGATCCCTTTGCTGAAATTCGTGTTTTAATTTTAATGTTTAAATGGGAATTATCTATCAGTTAAAGAGATTGTTGTAAAAGTGATTTTGACGATATCAAATGTTTCTACAAATTTTCTGATGATTATGAAATTTGACTTTCTTGCGTAGGTTTTTATAGGAAGAATTACTTCATTTAATTTGATCCAAAATTCACACACCATCTGATGAAACATTATATTCCCAGCTAACTGAAGTGTATAGTTTGTAGCGTGTTGTCGAGTGGAGATTGACTATGAACACCGCTACCAAGAAGCTCGTTTCAAATGACTCCATAAAATCCCCGAGAAGCCAAATATCAGAAGACAATTAATGGACCAAGTCGAGGTTTATTTGCTGGCGATCTCGTGGCATCGAAAGGATACTGAGATCGTGCCAGGATACAAGCTTGGTTACAGAACGTAACCGAATTCGCGCGAAGTTACAATCGAAGTGTAAGAATAAGAATGGAAGAACAATATAGCTGTCATTAACACAGTCAAACAAAAGCACATTAAAACAAACACTGGTACAATTGGTTATAATAATAATTGTTTTTATTTAACCAGTCGTGTTCTCGTGATAAATGTGAGTCACCACAAGTTTAAACTATTCGTTGAGGATAAGAAAAAAACCTCATATAAGTTGTAATAGGTTAAAAGTCGGTAAATGCAAATATTGATATTACTTAAATAATACTGTTTTGTTTGTGCAGCTAGACAATTAATAATTCAGCGGAAAGTGAACACCAAATACGAAGTGTTAGTTAATCTTTGGTTCTGATTTTTTCATTTTCAGTAGACATAATTTTCGGTCCGGTATTATGATCTAATTAGCTTCTATGTTAAATAAATCAAAAGAAAAACTGTGATCACATATACGTCATTTTTAAAATATAAATAAATTCCAGATCACCAAAACCAAAGACTTAATAGAACGCCTTGAAGTTATGAAAAGAAAAATTATAGAAACTGAACCAAAACATCAAATAGTCTGAAAGAATGGCCTTTTTCAAAATCTAGGCTATTGCTTGAATCTAACGATTTCAGTGTTGGTTATTTAAAAGATGTATTTGTGATTTTACATCCTACTGAACACAGGTTGTTGCGAAAGCGATGAAATATGAGTATAATTCTTCATACAGATTATTAGATTGCGAATCAAACAGTGAACACAGATAACTGCCAAACATTTTCATATCTTGATCTCGTCCGATAACTCCCTTTTGTCGAACTTGGCCATTTATGCATCTACTATAAACTTATAATTTTTATATATACCGCTTCATTATGTGCAACTTATTCAGTACCAAAATAATAATTCTATCTTCTTTTTAGCAGCTTTTATTGACTTTGATTTTAGTTCTTCGGCACTTATTTTTCTCCCTCTTTGTAGGATATTGAAGATACATATTTCATGCCGATCAATAATCAACTGGATTATGTTTGTCGTATGATACATGAAGATAAAAACCTATCTAATGGTTTACACATGATTGGTATATCACAGGGTGGATTATTTGTCAGAGCGTTAGTTCAAAAATGCAACTTATCGAAAGTCGGCACAGTTGTTTCTATTGGAGGACCTCAACAGGGTATATTTGGTATACCAAAATGCACTATTGATGGCTTTATTCATTTGTGTTTATTAATGAACGAGCTACTTTCATATGGAGCCTATATTAAATTTATTCAGAGCCAGTAAGTACTAGCCAAATAACTACGAAATTATCAGCGGTTTCGAATTTATTAAAGTATGTCAGCACAATTGTAAGTTGGGTAAGAGAAACTATATTTTCAGGATTTACAAATAATAAAGTGTGCCAGTATTCAAGACGTCTAAATGGTAGCTTCATCACAGTTAATTGTAAATTTGAAGTACACTTAACTTATCACATATTATTATATATTATATGTGTATATATTATTAATATTAGCTCATTGCCTTCTGTTCAATTCGATCATACATTTACTGGTTGTGAAGTTTTTTGCGAAAAGTAACTGTCTAGTTAAACTAATTGGAAGAGACGAAAAACATCATGGATCACATCACTCTAGTCAATAAATCTGTATTACTAAGGCGAGTTTGGTGAAAGTATAAATTGTCTCTGAACTCATAGAGGGAGTAAATTTTGAATGATTAAGCCTCCAGTAAACTTTATTAATATTTTATTATTATTATTACTTATGTACCATTTGGCCAAAACTACAATGTCTGAGTTAAGGTCGATCTTAAAACCCCTTTCAAATATGTGCCTAGAAACGAAAGAAAATAAATGTTTATTATATAATCTTATTGGTTTACATTTTTTTCGAGTCTTGATTACACTAACTATTTTCTGCTATCACTGGTACTCGTAGTACGTCTACTACTCCGGCAACTTGCTGTGTTAGTGAAGCATAATAACTTGAACCGACGTTCATATGTTCCAGGTTCTCCAATCAGTACGACTGGACGAATGTCAGACCATACAACCGAATAATGTACCACACACCGAACTTTTAAAAATATCAACAGAAAGTCAATAACCGTTTGTCTTTAGGGGGTAAATACTTGTCTGAACTATTTTTCGCTACTGATCAGATCCACCTGTCGCTCTTCTAAAGTTACTACCGGTACAAAGCCCTGTTAAAAGAGGGTTTGGCATGAAGTCGGCAACCGCATCGCGTAGAAAAAAGTTTTGCCAAAAATCGTCAACCAGATTAAACAAATTTAACCATTTAATAATCTGCCCTCCGAGTTCAAGGAAGAATTATGACGCCTTACAATAAAGCCTGAGATTCTTTAGAAGTCACGAGGCCGATGCCTTTTTTTAACAACCAGAGGAACAATATTTATAGGTACATGGAACGTCTGCACAATGTGGGAGACCGGGAGTACCAATCTTATAGCAACGAGAATGAGGAGATACAACTTGGCGGTTCTCGGAATCAACGAAACCCATTGGACCCAAGTTGGACAGCGAAGGCTAGATACGGTAGAGATGCTGCTGTACACCAGTTATGAAGAGGAGAATGCTCCATGCACTTAGGGAGTTGCTCCGATGTTGTCTAAAGAAGCACATAATGCACTTATAGGATGGGAATCTCATGGATCCAGGATCATCAAAGCATCATTCAAAACAAAGAAGGATGGAATCACAGTGAATATTATCCAATGTTATGCACCCAACAATCACACCAACGATGACGATAAGGATCAATTTTGAGTATATATGTGAGTAAACTTGTCATACTCAGACATTTTACGAATTTCTGTAATTTAATTCTAAGAGGATGCCGTAAAACTGATTATCTTTTGTGATTATACGGCTAACTGATCTTCTTGGTACTTCACCATCTCATCGAAAAACAGAAAGCCAGCATGGCAAGAATTTCATTTCACTTCTTTTTCTAATTTCAGATAAATATTGAATAAGTTACAATAACGATCCTTGACACGGACATACTGCTAGTAGTCAAAAGTGTTGCGAAAGTTTTTTTGAATATTGAGGGTTTGTTCTAAATAATCTTATATTAAAGTATTAAATTATTTCTTGCAATATACGCACATTCAAAAATAAAAGTTTATTCCTTTTGTTACGTAACAAGCGTTGTTCAAGCTCAATACTGGCATGATCCATTGGAGGAAGATGTTTATCGCAAATACTCTCAATTTTTAGCTGATATTAATCAGGAAAACGTAAGCTTTGTGTGGCTAAAATATATTTGTATATTTGTTCAGATTGGTATTACCTAAAATCAAAATCTTTGGTAACCTTTGTTGTCAAAGAAATCATGTCTTAGGGAACTACTCTTATATTTTTAGATGAAGTAATAATATTTATTCTATTAAAGGTCAAACATCTCTAGCAACTCACCCATTTGCGTCCTGAGTAACATTCCCAGATATGACACTTAATGACGCTGTCTCAGTTCGCACAGCTACAATCACTTCTTTCACGCTGGTAGCTGTGTCTTACAGATGAGTGAAAAACAGAATGAAACCACTTTACAATGTTTCCTGACAATTGTCCCCTCAAATTTACATCAACGTAGGTATCTTGTTGAATTTTGTTAACGATGACCACTACGCTGAAAGATAAGTAAGTTATATTGACAAGTCTTTTAAAGTCATGCAGCATACTCTATCGCAGCAGAAAATGAAGGTCTGCTTTTTTCACAAGAGATACACATCTGATTTAAATCACTTTACAACACCTAGGCATCACATTATTGGTGTTCATTTAAAATAATTGATCAACATAAAGGATTATTTATTGGGTATAAACCGTTGATGGTGGTCCAGTCATAATTGAAATTATCAAGAGTGGACCAGTTTTGAAGCCATTATTACACTATAGTAAACAAGAATAAAATTATATCTTAATGAAATAATTATATTTTGCAAACGCATCATAATGTTAGTTAAACAGTGGATATTTGATTCACTTCTGTTTTCAGTCTACATTCAACTTCTAGTGATTTTTTCTGTTATAGAGTAACAAAATTCGAAGGAAAAGAATGAACAATTTTTATTTGGGTTGACTTTTCATAATTAAATTAACTTGTTGAGTATTAACTTAGACGAAAAACTTATGGACAAAAACATTTGCTTAATTTTTGCTTGCTTCATTTGCTGATTTTTGTTGTTGATGTTTTAGGAAATAAACGAAATTTATCGTGAAAAACTGAGAAATATTCAAAGACTAGTATTGGTAAAGTTTTCAGGTGACACTATTGTAATCCCAAAAGAATCTGAAGCAAGTGTATTGATTAGTTAAAACAAAATGTATATTTCTTAAAATAATTGAATATGGTTAATTAGAAGTGTTCTTTTGTTTAACATATAAGATCTAAACTCATTTTAACCATTTTCATTAAACAAACTCATCAACTTTACTGTCATACTATAGTGAAATGGAATAATCTGTTTTAAAATGAGTAAGCCATTTAAATTAATCGCTGTATCTTTAATACTATATATACCATCATCTAAGTAACACCGCTGCAAGTGATATGTTCTGTTGTAATTAGTGCATTAATCTAATATTCACGATTTTTAATATTTATTAACACTATGTACTAAGTATGCCTTAATAATAAAAATCGACAATATCAAAAACTAAAGTCTAGGTTATTTAACCTTCAGACCATAGATATCTACTATGTTCCTAGTATGTAATTAGATTAATATCATTTAACTTGGTTCTGATATTGTATCAATCTATCAATCAATGTTCACGCTAATAATTTAAATTAAAACATTAAAAATGAGATTATCTGATAGGCCATATAGATACCTACATTGTTCTAATATTTGTTAAATAAAAATTTTAGTATTGGACTTTACGTAATATCAGTATGAATAGTCTTGTGCGCGTGTTTGAATTTATTTACATATTTATTTATTTACTTTAAGTTAGTATATTTCGAATAATGCCAGTATAGTTTAACTATTTACTTATAACTTAAAAGATAAATTAATTTAGAATTTGTGTAGTTTCCGGTTTCAGCATACATTTTTATACACTTTTTAAATATGTTTTTAAGTCTGTGCGACAAGTTACATATCGTTGCACTTATTGAAAACATGTTTTGTCGAAATATATCCAAGCTAGACAGAGTATTATAGTATTTTATCTGAGCTAGTTCGTAATTGAACCCCCAATTAGTTTTGATTTAACTTGAACCATATAACCGTTGACTTGTTTTCAATCTGTAAAGGTAGGCTAAATTGAATGTTTGCAAATATAAGTCAAAAACTCTTCAGTTAAGAATTCCCTCATGTTTTCCGATCAAAATAAATCGATGACCCTAAATTCTATCTCTCGACGTAAATTGCAGTCTTGATTTGAGTTAACGACAGGAGTTGGTAAATTTCATTTTCAAAATAAAATAAAATAAAGATATCCTCGATATCTTTACTTCATTAGTCATGAATAGTAATTATAGATCACATTTCATAGATTTATTTTATATTTCCAGTCAACTGAGCACAAAATCTAATTCTTGTATTGAAAAATTATCTACAACAGTTGCGATAACTCTTAACCGATCTTAGTTTTGTGGTGGTAGATGTGTCATTTGACTATTGACATCAATTTTATATTTAATGAAGTAACACACGGAGTTTTCTAAATAACTCAGTCGGGTGCACAGAGGTGATCCAGTAATTAGCGGGACTTAATTCGAGTAAACTCGGCGTACCAGGACCTTCGTGTACCTTAATGTCAGTTATAGTATAATTCGTGAATGTTTTACAATAACTGTGGATATATTAAAGGAGACAGTAATTGATAAAAAATTTCTATAATTAAAGTACGTTTAAATTGTACTGATCATTTAGTTGTTTCCGATGGCTGGTCATCTTTTACTATGAAGAATTAATTACCATCTCTACAGATCCTGATCACCAACGGTCTGTAAAGGCTATCGTGGTCTGTATGTCATCGTGAGGTGTAAATGATTGCAACTGATTTAAATTTTTTATATGTAGTTTCGAAAGTATCTGAAATTCATGACTTATGTTAAATATGACCTTTTTCTGATATCATAAACAATCTTTTTCAGTGGTTTGGATTTTATCAGAATGGATCATCGACAAACATAACAGCATTACAGGACAGTATTCTGTATACTGAAGTAAGTAACTCATTAATATGTCCAAAATAACTTATTGTTTGTATATGATGATTGCTAACAATCAAAAATTTAAGCACACAAGTGATGACAGTAGAAAGATTCAAGTTGAAAAATAAGTTCTGGTAACTAAACACCAAAACCTTGAGTACGCATGTCTTTTTCCTAAGCTGAGGGTTACATCATGAGACTACACGTATGGAAAGAGTACATCTGAATAAACTAATAAAATTTTCTTCTTTTTGTGTTTGATCAAAATACATGAGATAATTAGATTAAATTAGTCTATCTGTTCGTTTTTAGTGATAGTAACACGATGTACATGGCTGACGGCTGTTAAACCATGTGTAAGTGGTTGATATAAATAACGAAATTTTAATCCGTTGTCAAAAATACAACATACAGAAACAGTAAATTGATATATTTGTAGTAAAGGAGAACGCAGGTGAGGACAACCGAATTGTATTTAGCATAAAATTACAGAGTTACTTGGTAAAATAGAAAAACCATATAGTAAATCGTTAATTTACAAAATATCAATCAATCATATCAAACCGGACTGTTGCCCTTGCAAACATCAATCGATTGTCTCACATTTGATTGTTCATTCAGTTTCTTGCAAATTCCATTGTGTTCTCTCTCTTCCTTTCTTGATCTTCCCCATCTTCTGCTGCCAGACATTACGTTCTTTAACTTGCGTTATATACTACTTATATCAATATAAGTAGCACGCACCACATACTGATTCATTGAATAACTTATTAAGGTGACATGATGCTTGTTTTGAATTAACAGGCTTGTGAGAAAACTAAGTGAAGTATAGTATAATAAAGGGATTTATTTTATGAAGTATAGTTAACATTTGATGATTCTCATGAAGATTAGACAAGGCGTATCACACTTATTTGACAATGCAATATCAATTCTAATAAAAGACTGATAAATGTTGAGCAAAACCAAAAATTCGCCAGGAGATTGTTGAATAAGTGGATGAACTATACATTTGTTTTGAATGTTTCACATAACTAGCAAAATAACCTCTTTATGAGATTTATCAAATCAAAAATGAATAGATAGTCTCAAGATGAACAATTTGATGTTATCTACATTGATCTTATCACTTCTGTATTCAAAATAAGATTTAATTAATTATATTTCAAAAACATTTGACAAGAATCTTTAATAGATTTAATAAATTCTCTTATTTCAGGATCGTCTAGGCCTCAGAGAACTTAATAAAAGGGGTGATTTACATTTTATTGAAAAAGATGGTGATCATTTACAGTTTGATGTGAATTGGTTTATTGAAAAGATTGTTATTGCTTTTCTGAAATAATTTCAATTAATAAAATATACACTACTTACTTCGTAAACTTTAGAGTAACAATAATATTATTTTTGACCAATCAATGAACACAATTCACTGAACACATAAATCATTCTTGATTTTAACATTTCATTCATATTAAATTTTCTGAAATAAAGTTTCTAGTACATCATACACTTCAATAAGTACTCATTAAACTAAGAGGTTATCTATTCCAAATGACAATTAAATTATTAAATAATGACTGAAATCAAACCAAAGCCTTCACTTAAAATATAATGATCACTCAAAAATTGTTTAAATTGTTTCAAATCAAGTTTCGATACTGATCTGCCAAAGACAAGAGTCACTCTAGTGTTTGGTTAATTAGGATAATAATCGACGAACTGAAACATTTAGTCAATTGCCTTATAAGCCATAAAACAAAAATTGACTTAAAAACACATAAATCGAATAAGTAATAAGCGATTGACTGCATTAATTCACTCTGAAAACTTATGATTAGGTAATAGAGAGCATATAAATAACAATATTACTTTTTTGCTTATTTTCAATAGAATATTCGATGTGATTGAAATATTTGTAGACAACATTTCTTGTCTATTTCCTTGAATACGAACAATACTACGCTCATTAAAGTGATGATATATTCAGTTAAACTACTAAGCTGATTTACTCTAATAACTAGTCACGACCACTATTCTTTGTGATCATTCTTCTGTCATGTTAGTGTAAAATAATCAACCATTACCGATTTCCTTCATATTGGTGGTTGCTTTTCAGTGTTCTCAGGGGTCATTGTCATTGGGATATTTTAAGGCATGTTGCCATTGCTAACATTAATAAGTTTGACTGTCATGTAAGCGGAATAGGTCAACTTTGGTTTGTTAGTGCTGAGCATAATTGATTCACGCGATCATTGATTGAAATAACTATACATGTGACGTGAATGTGTATATTAGTGGTGCGAATGGTCCACCAGGGTGCTTGGTACCTGTGTGGTTGCTCCACTGGATTGGGCTGTACTATTCAAAATGTAGCGTTAAATCATATACGGTGTTTGGTTCTCCTGTGAAGCGGGATTAAACTCTACTACTCAGGTCATAGAATTTAAGCATGAGCGGTGTATGGCTCTCCTGTTAAACGGGATTGAGCTGTACTGTTAGGGTTGTCATGAGAAAGTCCAGATGGTATCTGGTTCTCCCGGGAACCAAAGTAAAATAACTCTGGCCCACAAGGGTATATTATATAACTATAACTAACTGCCGTTACTGTATTAACGATCATCAGAAACCATCAAATGAACAATATTTCTGTATATATCCTGTATTTAGTTACAAATAAGCAGTAGTATGTTTTGTTAGAACTTTAAAATATTTTGTTCGATTCCATTCTTCCTTATTTTCAATTACAATAACGGTATGCAGTTATTACCTGAATAGTTTTTGATAACAATATGTTAAATCTCTAGTGGACAATTCTGTTGTAATTAGTTAATAATATTATTAGATGTACAGCATTTGATTACTATTCATTAAAAAAACAAATAGTAGCTACTTAAACAGGAAAGCTCAGTACTGAGATTTAATTTAACGATTCCTGAAAAACCTCTTACTTAGTTAAAATATGGAATACTTCGTAAATTGACTTGTTTGGACGATATCCACTTATAAACTCCAAGAAGGCTATTTTCCAAACGGGGATTTTTCACAAACGAACAATATCATTCATGCGTTAATTGCCCTTGACTTTAATGAAGATTGATGAGTGTTCGATATTCAGTGACCAACTGCTGTATGATTTGGCTAGAGACTAAAGACACTTAACTAGCTCTACATTTAGCATGTGTTTTTGATAAGACATTGTGTGTAATAGCAATTTACTGTACTTCTTTCGGTACATAGTGCCAAGAACATTTTTCCCGAAAACTCACGACTGCTTTCAAATAGTAAAATATACAAACTGTGGAGGTTGTTTTTATTTATTGTTTCGAAGTAATTTTCACCAAAATATATAGTAAAAAATAATGATACGGATATTTTTCCCGTTCATTACTTTACATTCATTATGATGGAATAGACTCTTAGATTAATAAAGATCAAAACTCTTTCGTCTCCCTGATTTCAGTTAATGCCATTTTGACATGACAATATCAAAACCTGGTTCTGCTACACAGGGAAGACAGAGCCACATGCACAATTCTTCGCAGTAATAAAGGCACTGCCGAGCGATTTCAACAGGCGCATCACACTTGGCATATTAGCTAGTGATGTTTTGGAACCTTACGAAACATTAAAAAATGCTTTTCTAAAGGGTGGAGATCTAACCAACCGACAACAAAATCGAACTTCAAATGGCTCAGAAACAGAAATGTTGTTGCAAATGAGAGAGCTCATTGGTCAGAAAACTTTTGACGAGGATCTGTTTCGACAATTCTTGTTGTCTAAGCTTCCAAAAAATACGCAAGAAGTCCTCGTCTCATTTCAATACAAACTGGCTGCATCTGCCGAACGGGTCCTAGAGATCACCAGATCTCCCATCGCTGAGGTTTATTCAGTCACAGAAAAGCCTCAAGCGACACGAAATGACGTGACCTCTGACATGCTTTAATACGTTAACTTATTATTCGTCATTACCGTAGACGCTTCTAAACTTGCTGAAGAAGTATTCCATGAAAATGACCTGTCTATAGACCACGAGCAACAGATAACCCTGATTGGTGTTGCTACTATAATAAATTTGGTGATTCTTCTCGCAGTCGCTGAAAACCTAACAGTTTCTCGAGCTTTATACCATCAGACACGAAAAGAGTTTCGGGAAACTTCTCAGCCGGCATGCAGTAACATAAACCATAGCCAACGAGAATAGCTGTCTGATGCGGCGACATACACTCTCGCAGAAGTTAGTGTTCATCCTGAAGTCTTCAAATTAAAGGTGGGAAATGGAAAACCGATTACCACATATGGTAAGCGATATATGTTTCTTAACGTGGTTTCACGCAAACCCATTCACCAGATCTTCGTTGTCGCAGATGATTCTATGTCAATTATTTGTATAGACATGCTACAACGCCATAATCTACTCATCGGTAAGCGCAAACCAATGTCAGTAGATAGAAATACAAAATTATGTGTTTATGTTACTTCTTTTTCCGGTTGTAGATGGTCCTTAGTAACCCATAGGCACACCATCAATCCATAATATAAACAAACACTCGATAAATATCACGAGGTATACCGAACGCGACCGAAATCACCATATGTAGCAAGCAATCATTCACATTTCTCGAAAGTGCACCGACTAGCTCTTGGAAAGTTGAGGTTGGCTATAAACGAATTCGACCACCTGATAGACCTGGGAATCATTCGGCCATCAATTAGCCCTTGCATATGGTCCCCAAAAGAGACAGCAACGTTTGGCGTCCATCTGATGACTTTCGTCGTTTAAATGGGGAAACCATCCCTGATCGCTACCCGTTACCACATATTCACGTGTTAATAGCAACCTTGAAAGCTACAATTGGTTTTTCATAAATCGACTAGGTCAAAGCATGTAACCGAATTTTCATGGCCGATGACGACATTCCTAAAACGAATTTTCGCGCATGGCTTTATGCCTAAGGAATGCCACACAAATTTTAAAGAGATCTGTCGATGACGTTTTCGTGGTCTCAAATTCGTTCATGTGTATTTTGAAGACTACTTGATTTCAAATCCGATCAAGGAATCTCGTCTTCAGCATCTGGACTTTGTCTTCGAACGACTGCAAGGACACGGCATTATTGTAGACATTCAGGTGTGTGATATCGGCATAGGCTTCCTAGATGTTCCCGGACTTACTACTGATGCTCAAGGCATCCGACCTCTGAAAAACAAAGTGACGGTTATCCTGGATTATCAAGAACTGACCACAATGAAGTAACAACGCGCATCATACGACCTAGTAAGTATTCATAGTCGAATAATACCGAAATAAGCGTCTTATATGAGACATTTGATCGACATCTTTCGTAGAAATCTGGACGATGTCGCGAAAAAAGCATTCTGCAGAGCAAGTAAGGAAACTTTACCATATGACAGATTAACAGACAGGAACCATCCAATCGTGCTGAAACATTATGGACGCAACATCTTCACCACGTTGCACAATCTTTCTCATCCAGGTCTTCGTGCAAACATCAAGCCCATAGCAGAACGTCTTGCTAGTCTGGTATTAATAAATACGTGAGGAAGTGGGAGATACCTATGTAGGCTGCCAGTATTTCAAGGTGATTGAATACAACAAATGTGCCATAGGCCCTTTCACATCACCTAGACGAGCAGGCTCACAAACGCAATGCGTTCAGTTAAACATATTTTCACTCGACCGCAATTAACTTGTGTTTTCGTTCAACATGTCCTACGATATAGTACACACGTCTTTGCACGTCGCGACTCATCTCGATAATCTCTTAAAAGAACATACGGAAGACCTTTCAAAGTCCTTCAGAATGAACCTAATTATTATATCATCGATGAGAACGGAACTAACGATAGTATCAGGTTCAATCGTATTTAGAAGAAAAAAGAATTATGTAGATTTTTATTACGTAAGACACGAGTTTCACAGTGAGGATACCTCATACGATAATAAACCATCACATTTCTACAGCATGTCAAATATATTGAAATTGATATATTTTCTTTGTATTTACTACTCCAAGGTCAGTGCATTTTTGCTATGTACATTGTGTTAACGTGGATTTTCTTTCTCTCTAATTATCCATGGATTTCATCGGAAAAATTGCCAGTCCTTATCTGGCACGGAATGAGTTTGTATCTGAATTTTTGTTTATTTTCTTAAAGGTGACCATGGGAAGTCTTTTGGTATGGATTTGATGTCTCAGTTGGTTAAACGAACAATACCTGGAATCTATGTAAAAACCATCTCAACGAATAATTTTAACATAGAGGTAAACAATCAACATTGTTTACGAATGCGTGCGCGTCTGTTTCTAAGCTGTAAAACCAAATAAGTTTTGATATTGTTCTCATGTAATTTTAATTACATTAACCGTTCTGATAAATATATAAATGCGGCTGGCCAGTTGCTGTGGAATACAAATCGTTGTTGTTGCCTTAAGAGTGTTTTTTAGGTCGTTTGTATGCTGTTTTAAACAGATCGAGATTTCAGCATGGTATTTGTGTATTGATGGTAGGAGGTCTGCCTGATATCATTTTTTTGTGTCCAGTCTGGTTTTGCATATGTCAGTTGAAGAATTGGACACTATTTCTTTGAGTACAGTGTTACAAA